CATTCCACAAAGTAACTACTGTTAATAGTTTGAGTTGTATCTTTTCAGACAGACTTTTTTCTATAGATTACAAGTATACTATTCAACATGCACATATAAACACAAACACACATATACACTCATTCTCAGAATTTGTGTAGTTTTTTTTTTTTAATGCAAGTTGGGTCATTCTATACATATTGCTCTACAACTTATGGCTGGTTCTTTTTTTTTAGCAAAACAATGTATCTTTCCACGTCAATATATATAGATCTACTTCATTATTTTATCAACTGTATAATATTCTGTTGTGTGGATGCAGTATAATTTAATCAAGTATCACTGATGGACATTTACATTATTTCCCATTTTTTCCCTATTAAAAAGAATGTGGGGGTGAGCTCCCATACATATATATCTTTGCATGCTTGTTTGAGCGGGTTAGATTCCTAGAGTTGTTGCTGCTAGGTCAAAGGCTGTGTACACTAAAATTTCTTATATTTGCTGCCAACTTGCCTTTCAAAAAGTCTGTAATAGTTTATATTCTTGCCAGTATTTTACTCACTCCTTCCAGGTTCTGAGCTGGATAGGTCACTGCCTGTATACTGCTCTCTAAGGCCCTTTGATTTCTTTCCTCTGTTAATTTTTTCAGGTGTGATAATTGTGTTGTGGTTATTTTTTTTAAGTCTGTATCTTTCTGTGATACATATTAAAGTATTTACAGATGCCATGAATTAGGGAAAAAAGAGACTTGGATAGAAATTTTTTAAAATCCCCAAACGGGCTTTTCTGAAAAATGAAGGGAAAAGACAACGAATCCAGAAGTGCAGAAACAGATGCACTTAATGGAGAACAGATTTCCTTATGTGATTGAGGGATAACCACAGCTGGACACCTGCAGGACGCTTGGTCCTGCTCCCACACAGTGTTAGAGGTTTGAGCTGGCTCTGCTGCAGAGTCTGATGGACTTCTCAGTCTCTTTCAGAATCTGCTTTTCTGTCTTGGAGTTCAGGCTTCCAGATCTTTCCTCTGGTCCTGGGCTTTACTGCTCAGACCCTTGGGACTACTCCAACCCTCCTCCTCCATGAATACCCCCTTATTCCTACTTCTCTTTTTTTAAAGATTGGCACCTGAGCTAACATCTCTTGCCAGTCTTCTTTCTTTTTTCTTCTTCTCCCCAAAGCCACCCCCAGTACATAGCTGTATATTCTAGTTGTGAGTGCCTCTGGTTGTGCTGTGTGGGACGCCACCTCAGCATGGCCTGATGAGCGGTGCCATGTCCGCGCCCAGGATCCGAACCCAGAAAACCCCAGGCCACTGAGAGCACGCAAACTTAACCACTCGGCCACAGGGCCAGCCCGTTATTCCCACTTCTGTTTAAGGAGGTATCTGAACACCTTGCCTCAGGGATTCCTTTTTGACCCATCATCTCCTTCTCAGCTTCTCTAGGTCTCTGAGGCTTGACTTTTGGAAATAGATTTTCTTTGACTTAAAAACAGGTAAAAACTTGCTTTTAAGCTCTTCCTTTTGGTAAAGGTTGTCTTTTTCATCTATAGTTCCAGGCTGGTGTCTGGGCCTAGTCTCTGCATTATACCGCCCCCTCTCAACAGCCAGCAGACGCCTCAGTCCTCTTCCTGTCCTAAGCCCTAACTCACTGTCAGACCACCCACTGAGTTCCTGTTCTTTGATGCCTATATCTCCAGCTTGCATATCATTTGCTGAGTGGTAATGATGAGTTACCACTTTTTGTGGGTTTGCTAAGCACCAGATTCAATACTAAGTGTTTTATATTAAATCGTACATATCATCATGTCATCATTCTGCTGCCGTCAGGCAACCCTAAGAGGTGGCTGTTATCCTTAAATTACCAGAAGAAGAATCTAGGACTCAGAGAGGTTAAATAACTTTCCGAAGGTCCCACAGCTAGTTAAATAACAGAGCTGAGATTCAAACCCAAGTCTCTGACTCCACACCCTTAACCTTCTGCACTTAGAGGTAACTGAGACATTGCTTACCAGGCAGATAAGGCCTTTCCTGACTTAGTTCCCCAGCTTCTCTTTGATGACTTTCTCTCTTCTTTCTCAGTGTCAGCTGTGGGCAAGAAAATTCAGTTATCAGTTATTCATATTGTCAGTCTCATTTATTAGGTATGTTTTTTGAGATAGGCAGATATTTTGTCTGACTTATTCTCTACTGCATTGCTAGGTCTTGTAACAGTGTCTGGCACAGAGTAGTCTCAGTGGTTATTGACTACATGAATGGACGAATGACGAGTGATTAGTCTCTACCAACAGAAGGAGAAGAGTGGTTCTCTGACAAAGGGGGCCTGAGAAATGGCTCCAGTGAGCGTGCCTATGTGGGAGAAGATTGGAAGTTGGAGAGTGGGACCCTGACCTCTCTCCCCTTGTTTTGCAGGCCAGAGGCACCCAATGAATTCTATGATGGAGACCATGACAACGACAAGGAAAGCGACGTGGAGATTTAAGAGCGGCTAGGCTTGCTGTGTCCTAAGGAATTCCTTTTTACCTCTTGGTTGGGTGGGAGGGAAAAGGTGTGGCTCCCCCAGCCCTGGACTGGTCGCCTTCAGGGCTTTTACCAACACTAGGGGAGGGTTTAAAGACCACATCTGGTTCTTGAACCAAATATCCCCTTTCCTCTCCTTCCCAAGGCCTAACAATGGTACCTATTAGGGATTGGATGGGGACAAGGATAGCTGTCTGTCTCTAGGACATCCTGAGCAGTGGGCCCTAGAAGCCAGTCCCAGCCCCGCTGACCCCCTTATTCCTTCCCTGCTTCCCTCCAATCCAGAGACCTTGAGGGCTGAGGAGTAATAGGACTGAGGTTGCCTCTGACTTCCTCCTTTCCTGGATTCTACTGCAGGCTTTGCTTCCAGTGCAGGTGAAGATTGAGGGATTTTAGGAGGCTCTGGCTCCCTAACACCTTAACCCCAGATCATGGGAAGTACGATTTTGAGTTGGGGGAGGATGTCAAAATGTCCTGTTCTGACTTTTGGCTTTATGTCCATTTTACCACTGTTTTTATCCAATAAACCAAGTTGGTATTTTTTGTACCTTTTGCCTTTCTGAGAATATTCTTAATTTTTGCTAGCTGCCTAGATATGAAGGGAGAGGAAATGGAATTGATGATGTATATAATAAAAATCATAGTTAACATTCCTTCAGCACTTAGGTATATGTATTCAACATGGATTATCTTACTCATATAGGGACTTAATAGAACCTTCTGGTTACGAGTTAGACAGACCTGGGCAGATCAGTATCTTAAGAGAGGGAGTAGAGGATAACTTCAGGTTTTTGAACCTGGGCATTTGAAATGGTGATGCTAGTTGGTGAAGATACACTGAGATAAAACATGTCAAGTGCTTAGCACAGTGCCTGCCGTAAGTAGTTGCTCATTATCTTAACTGTCTATGTGAAGAACGATGCTAGATACTGTAGTAGCCAAAACATGGACCCTTCCCTGGAGGAGTTTACAATCCACTAAGGAGTGAGATAAAGGCTATAGGAGATGTGGAAAGTGGTACAAGAAAGAAGAGTAATAGCTGGGTCACTGCTTCTGTGCTTTGATCTTGTCTTTCCTCAACACTCCAGCTTAGAAAGTAAGTAGCTTTTGAACGTTTTTGGACAAATTGAGTTCGAAGTGTGGGCTGGACAGCTCTATGCAACTTTCCATCAAGCAAACAGAAAGTGGAACACGAGGTGAAGGCCAAATTTAGGGTCCAGCCAGCTTGGCAGAGTCCCTGTAATATAGCAGGCCCTAGACAGCAGTAGGGGCTCTAGAATGAGGCACTGACTCTACCCTCCAGGGATGTACATTTGAAATCTTGCTAGCTGTGGGCAAAATAATTTGGTCCATACTTTGAGGGCCTACTAGGTGCCATATACTTTTCACACATGAGACAGATGTACCTGAGAGAATGGATGACATTACTGAGGAGGAAGTCAAGCTAGAAGAGCAAAGAACATACTCTCGGAGAACACCTGTTCTTTTCACTCAGGTTTGGTTTCTGTCAGTAGGGAATCCTGGTTAAGCATAGGGCTTCGCTGTCAGACTAACCTGGGTTTAAATTTTCTATCACTTAATTACTTGTCCTTAGGCAAGTCACTTCAACTCTCAAAGTTCAAATTTACTATCTGTAAAATGGTGAGACTAGTGGGATTTATCACATGGCATTGTGAGGATTCACTGAGAAAATAAGAGTGTTTTGTATAGTTGCTGGCAGAGAGCAAGTGCATTGTAAATGGTAACTATTATTACTATTTAGGCACACGTTGGCAGTAAGTAGTTTTTCTAGATAAGAAACACAACTAGAAAATAGCAGATCTGCAATTCAAAACGAGGTAATCCAACTCCAGAGCTAGTCAAGTTCCAGTCTAGCACTTGCCTTGGACCAAGCTCTGTTCTTGGCACCGTAGCTTTCAATATATGGTGGCTGACATTTCTTTTTCATGTGCGTCCTTGGTATGGCCCACATGAAAACTGTATTATCCTGGAAAGCCCAGCACAAAATTACCTGCCAAGAAGACAGTTTCATGCAATTTTTGGTTCAGATAATATTCTGGGCTGGGGTGTGAGAGGGTCCAGGTTTTACAGCCACGTGGGCACTGCGTGGGAGAGATGAGGCCTGCGCCGCTCCACCCGCCAGGGGGCGCCGTTCCGGGTTGCGGCCGCGGAGAGTTGCACCGCCCGCTCAGCACCCCCCGACGTGAGTCCGAATGGTTAGGCCCGCCGGGCAGGTAGCGCGTTTCCGCGGCTTCCCTCCACCCCCGTCCCTTCCCCCATTGGTAGGGGCTGCGGGTCCGGGCGGAAGTGGGGCAGGCGGGCGGGAGCTAGGCGTCGCCGTTGTATATTCATGAGGCGTGCGCAGCCGGCATGCTAATGAGGCGGGGCGCGGCGGCGGGCAGAGGAGCTGCTGGGCGGCGGCGGCGGCGGCGGCGGGCTCGGAGCTGCCTGGCGGGAGCGGCGTAGGCGCGGGGTCGCTCTCCAGCGCGAACCTGGACATGGAGCCGCCCGGCGGGGGCCTGGGGCCCGGCCGCGGGACCCGGGACAAGAAGAAGGGCCGGAGCCCGGACGAGCTGCCCTCGGCGGGAGGCGACGGCGGCAAATCCAAGAAATTTGTGAGTGTCCCTCCCACCCGGCTCTCTCAGCCTGGCCCCGTAACCGCCCACTGGAGCCCGGAGACCCCAGCAGTCGGCCCCAGGGGTTCACGCCCGTCTCTAGGGAGCCGCCCCCGCGCCTCCCTTCCTCCTTTTCCTCGGTCCTGGGCTCCGCAGCCCAACATCCTACCCCTCCGGGACCTCAGGGAGCCCCGGAGTCCCACCCGGCTCTTGCCCCGGCCACCCGGGGCTTCCTTCGTCCCCCAGCCGGCACGCTCTGCCCTCCGCCCCCGTAGCCCCGGCCGGTCTCAGCCTCATCTCCTCTCTCTCTCAGCCCCACTTCCTTTCTTCTTCCTCTATTGCCCGAGGTATCACTATCTTGGTCCTCTGTGCTTTTCCGGGTCCGTTTTCTCTTATTACCCTTCCCCCCTCTTTTGATCGTCTCTTATTTGCTTCTCCAAAGGTCACTTCCTTGTCTCAGATTGATCCCTTTCACCTGCTAACTTTCCTCCCGCCTAGTCCCCCCTCTGGGCCCTCAGCCCGGTGTCACCTGATAATTCTTCCCCACAGGAATGTTACCTGGCTTGAGCCTTGCCCTCTCTCCTCCCTTGGACGTGTCCTTGTGATTGCAGGAGCGGGGTGCTGCCCAGGTGATATGGTCATTGGCCATGACGTTAATTTGCTTCCCAGTATTTCTCTATCCAGAGAACCTGTCTCTTTGCCCTGTTGCTTAGCACTTTTCAGGTTGTTAGGACTTCTCATGCTTATGCCCTTCTTGACCTAGGATGGTGATAAACCTCCCCCGTGGGGAGGAAGTTAGACGGCAATTTCAAGAAGTTTGTGCTTAATTGAATTGCTTTTCATGCATTTCCTGTGATAACCATCCTCTACTCTTCTGCCACCTCCTGTGCCCCAAGGCTACTGAGATTCCTCTTCCTACCTGTAGAAGAGTATTGCTTTCCTCAGGTGCCAGTTACTTCCAATCCGAGTCTGAAGGAATACTGATAGTCATATAACACTGTCATTTTTCTTTACCTTTGCCCGCACTAAATCTTCTTTTTTACTCCTCTCTCCAAGGAGCTATTTTTTTGCTGCTTACCGTGAAAGCTTTGAAAGACACGGGGCACTATCCCAGAGAGAAAAAGAGGCTTGTATCTTAATAATCATTTGGTAGTTTTTTAGTTTTCCTGTCCAGGTAATTACACCCCTACTCCAGTGTCTCTTTTTGCTAAACAAATGGCTTCTCTTTCCTCTTTCCTCTTTCTTTCTCTTATCCCTACTCCTTAGCATTCTGACCCAACTCCCCAAGTTTGGGAAGAAAACTGATAAAGTGATAGAAACAGGAAGAACATGTTGCTTTGGGACCTAGAGGGTTGAAATGTGGAGAGTATTAAACAGAATTAAAATAGTGACTCATCTCTTCCTATTTCTAGCAAGGCAGGTGCTTCTGGACTGTCCTTTCCAGTGACTTACAGGCTGTCAATAACTCCCTGTTTTTGTCTGGCCAACATCTTTCTTTCCAGAAATGCAGGGTAAATAGTAGTGATGACCCTCCCCGTATGGTGACTAAAGCAACATTTACCTGTTTCTTTAGGATAAGAATCAACCCTCTAGTTAGAGAGCTTTTCTTCTAAGACTTAAGTTCTAGGGCCCATATTTCTTCTATTTCTGTATCTTTTTGTTTTGTTTTTGTTTCCATGGGTACTGTTTGACCTTCCTCACCCAAATTTCAACTGTTCCTGCTGATTTATAGCGACCTCTGTGACTTGTAAATGTTTTTCAAGTGCTTAATAGAATTTTATATGTGTTTTTTAATCTAACACTTGTTAGATCACAAATTTGTTCACAAATTTGTGAAATCTACTAAGTGTGTGGTGCTGAAAGGTGAGATAGCTGAAGAGACTCAACTTCTTTTCACCTGTTTTTTGGAGTGTCCACAGAGTCTTGTATATGCTGAGTGGATTTGGCTTAGAGCTGTTGGTATTTACTTTAGAGAAGGTGGAGCTGAACCAAGTTCTCCTTTTCTTTCAGAGGTGTTGGTCTTAACTCTTAACCTGCTGAATTTTAAAAACTATGTGCCATTGCATTGCAGAGAATTGCATTGGTAGCTAGGGGATTGAAAAGTTTCCAGGAAAGTAGTGCTTCTTACCCCCTTTATTGCCGACTATAACGTACCTCAAGGCATCAAAATATTCTCTTTCTCATTGCTCTTTTTATGAGAACTCTGTGGAAATGAGAGATTAGGAAGAGCGTTGCAGTCCACTTCTGTTTGTGTCAGTGTATGTATTTGGGGGTAGGTAGAGTGGGTGAGATTGCTCATGCACTTTCCTTACCCATGGCTTAGTTTTGTTGAACTATAGGCTAAAAGTGAACTCAGAGATGTTTCGCCTACTCCACCTTTTCTAGAGCGCGTCCTCTGGAACTCCGTTAAGAATGTACTTTATAAAACTGCACTGGTTTGTAACTTAGTGTGTGCAAAGGTTGTTTATTTGCATCTGAGGGGTTACTGATCCTTTTAGCTGATACATACCTTTCCAGGCTTATGCAGGTTCAAAATACAGATCAGCTCATGAGAACAGAGCTCACAAATTGCCTGAGATTTCCTCTTATCCCCTGAGGCATCTTGTGCAGAAAAGACATGGAGTCTGAGTTTAAAAAGTGTTGGGAATTATCTTTTAAAAACATGTGGTGGTTAGAGATGCTCACGTGTGTGGCTGAAGCCAGGCTGCTTGGTATTCCCCGTTGGTTCTTCATAAGTCTATCTTCTCCTGGGCCATGAGCATATATATCCCTTCTTGAGCATTATTCCATGTCCTTTCAGAAGTCCTTAAGATGAAGTAAAATAAAAACTCTAAATGAACTGAGTGTTTTCTGACTTTTCAGCAGTGATGAATGTGGCCGTCAAGTACACTGATTTCTGAAATATGTGCAAGGGGAGTGAGTAAAACCAGGATGTTAGGAGGCTGGGGTATTTCTCCATTGTATAGACTGCATACCTTCTCATACAATCAAGAAATACATTCTAAGAAAGAATGTCGTTTCCCAGTTCAGCTAGGAGCATAATTTTATAAAACATGAATTTTAGTGTGGGGTTAGAGAGAATAGAAGATATATAGTTTTTAAAATCTTGTTTAATTTTGGATACCTATGTTGAATGATTACCATGTTGTAGTTTCATGTCCTTCTAAAAGCAAAGTGATAGTGGAAGTATAAATGTTTAGTTGTAGACCCCTGTCTCTCCAAAATGAGAGCAGTCAAAGGTGAAGGATACCAAGCAGAAGTTTGAACAGATATTAGGAAAGGTAGAGAATATGAAGGAAGTGGAGTCGTCCGTGCCGGTATCTGCTTCTCTCCCCTTTATTAAAGAAGATGTTAACTTTACTCCAAAAGGTCGCAGAAAACCAAGGAGTATACAGAGAGCTTTATGCAAGTCATGGGTTTTTTTGAAAGATGATAAACACAAGGATTACTTAGTTTGGAAAGAGGGAGAGGAGCCTACAGGAATGTTATTTAGATGTTTGAGATGACAGAATGATACCTTAAAAATTTCTGCCCTTCTTCCTGCCTTGTGTTTAAAGAAACAGACCAGAGATCCACTTGATAGTCTTACTTTTGCTTGTCTCAAAGGACATCCTCCCTCACAGGAGGTGAAACTGAGGGAATGCCTCTGAATTAAAATCTCTGCCCTGGGAGAGCTGGTAAATGTTGGGATCCTTTTATAAAAAAGAGCTGTAAATTTATGACCTGTAAATTATGTTTACTATAAAAGCTAAGTAAATAGTAATAAGTGAAGTGGGAAGTGCTTTAACTTTGTTGATGGGCTTATGGGTCAGAATAGACTAATTTTATTTCTTTTTTATAATTTCTATTGTTTATTTTAAAATTTTATTTATTTATTTTTTGAAGAAGATTAGCCCTGAGCTAACGTCTGCTGCCAATCCTCCTCTTTTTGTTGAGGAAGACAGGCCCTGAGCTAACATCCATGCCCATCTTCCTCCACTTTGTATGTGGGACACCTACCACAGCATGGCTTGCCAAGCGGTGCCATGTCCGCACCTGGGATCCAAACTAACGAACCCCAGGCCACCGAAGCAGAATGTGCGAACTTAACCGCTGCGCCACCGGGCTGGCCCCCAAATTTTATTTCTTGTATGGTGGAGTAACCTTTTGATATTCCCTGGGGCCCTCAGTGTGTTTTATAAATGGATTGCCAAGTTATTCTTGGAGAGTGTTCTATTTTCAGTGAAACATAATAGAGGCTTAACAAATAAGGTTATGCCACATATGATTTAGAAGAACAGGTTAAAATCATGTTTATTAATAAGAAATACTAGATATTATAGAGAAACAAAGAGTTTGTATAGGCGGGTGGTATTTTCTCCCATTTTATGTCTCAGTTAGCTGAAATGATTTATGACTACAAAAGCATCCCTATTTTGAAACAAATTTTGTATTACTGAAGTGTTTTTCTTGATTATGTTGAGCCTCCTATTCTAATCACTTTTGTTTGAAAATAGTAGGAAAAACTTCACCTCTTGCTAACTAGCAAAGTGGCATTGTGTGTTTGCCCCTAGTTAGGGTGAGATGAGATAGTCAGCCCTCTCCCCATGCAGACGAAGCTGCCTAGCGGCTCCTCCCTCTTTGTTTTCATTCCCTCCCTGCTTCTCTAGGGGCCGGTTCAAGTCCCTTGGACACCCTGGCCTTTGGGGAATCAGGAGCAGTAAAAGCTGTTGATACTAAAATTTCTTAAAACCTCGAAGGATATTTTAATCCCTTTGAACATATTTTACCTTATTTTCTACCTTTTTCTTTTGCAAATACAGTTTTTAGAATCAAGGAACCCTTTGTAAGAAAGTAAAAGAATTGCTGAAGGAAAAGAAAAATATGAGAACAGTATTTTAATGAATTTTACCACCAATTACAGGATAACTCTGGGTGAATCATTGTTCTTTCGACTGAGATTCTTACTTCCATTCATTATTAAAGCTTGTTATGAATGGTAGCCTTAAAATTTTAGAGTT